CTTGAGAGAGTATTGCGCTATATAAAAAGAACCATGAGCTATGTCATTCACTATACCGGGCATCCAAGGGTACTAGAGGGTTATTGTGATGCAAATTGGATATCTGATGCTGATGAGATTTATGCCACAAGTGGATATGTGTTCTCACTTGGAGGTGGCGTTGTTTCATAGAAGTTTTGCAAGCAAACCGTCTTAATAAGATCAACAATAGAAGCAGAACTCATAGTACTAGATACTGCCTCAGTTGAAGCTGAGTGGCTTCATGAACTCCTTATGAATTTACCGGTGGTTGAAAAACAAATCTCGTCTATTTTCATGAACTGTGATGATTAGGCTGTGATAATCAAGGTGAACGGTTCTAGGGATAACATGAAGTCTACAAGGCATGTGAAGAGGCGGCTAAAATATGTCATAAAACTAAGAAACTCCGGAGTAATTGCATTGGACTATGTCCATACATCTAAGAATCTGGCAGATCAGCTGACAAAGGGACTGTCACGCAATGCGATAGATGGTCCATCGAGGGAGATGGGCTTGAGACCCACTTGAGGTCATTCCATAGTGGTAACCTGTCCTATGTGATCGGAGATCCCGTGAAGTAGGATGGTGAAACAAGCTAGTGGTTGACTGATGGAGAAACCCCTTATTTTAAGGTCCAAATCGTTATGAGATGCACTGTTTCTCCTATGCTGCATGTCAGGATGGTTAATTCCTTAATGTATTCCGAGTGGCTTATTTAAGCAGGGATGTTGTCCTACGTAACGTCATAGAAGAAAAAAACCTATGCGAGTTCGACTGCTAGTCACAGTCTATGAGATATGGGTAATCTCTGGATACTCATGAAAGGCATGGAAGTGTGACTTATAAGCTTCAAAACAAAGGGGATGCTTGTAGCAGCCTAGTACCATGAAAGAACTTTGGTGAAACTCAATTCGCACAAAACTGTTAATTCAAGATATAGTCCATTGTTCAGTTGTGGATGTGTGGAGCATCTGTTCTAGACGGATGTTCAACTTAACAGTCGCCATCGAAACTCTGGTATATCAAAGATTTGGGGTTTTGAGACTATTTTACTACGAACCCTAGAGTTTGGTGGGGATTGTTGGATATGTTATGGGCTTGGCCCATATAATATTTAATAATTCAAATAAACTCTATGGCCTGTATTAATGGGTGATATATGGTTTAATACCATACGGGATTTTGACTAGACGTTGACTCAGTTTATATGGTTGGACATTGTCTATCTATATTGAGAAGCTAAGAAAAGGACGCTGATATGCTACACGCGTGCGCACCACCGCCGCCAGTCGGGTGTGGGCGTTGGAAGGCGGCAAGCGGACGGACAGGGCCGAGTTTTGCCAATCAAGTCACATAATTATAGGAGTTTCTTCTGTTTTTAATTAGTGGTAATTTGATTATTTGAGTTTCCTCCGTTACTGCCGCTGAACCTTGATGGCAAGAGCTCTCTCGTCTCCTGTCTCTTGATCTCCTAATTAGCCTCTTCGCTTTCCAGCTGCGAGCATATAATCCCATCTCCTCCGTCAGTCATTCCTCTTTGCTTTGTGAGACAACCACATATTTAGCCGCTCTCTGGTTCTCCCTGTCCCGGTACTTGCGCGCACAGGTCCTGGGAGAGTAGGCCTCCGAAACGCTTGCCATCTACGAGTTCACCTGCTCGGGTGGAAGACGACAATCACGTTTTTGGTGAGTGTCGCTGATGGCATGACTACTCGCTACGTCTTCTTCTTCCCGGGTGTCTTGTTGGTCTTCTTCCCGGCGCACGGCGAAGGCTCTCTAGTGATCGACACTGCTTCCCTTTTACACTACATCAAGCGGGATGACTACACCGACATGCACTATGTCGACTAGTGCATCCGGCTCTGCCGTTGGGTATGTTTCCGGTGTTCGCTATCCAGTAAAGTTTTTGATCAATATCTTGCTAGTTAGTATCATCTACATGCTATTCATGCTTAGATCACACAAGCACATATATGATGTCACAAATCTTTTGATTATTGCTATTTTTGGATTAAATCTTTTGTCTGCAATTTTAGACGATGTTCTGACATAAAGGCAAGAAAGATAGTCTGCCATGAGTCAGACACCGGCTGAGCCCTAGATGTTATTATTGTTAAGAATCTGTGGAGATGTAAAAAAAATAAACTATGTCTACGATTTTAATTGATTTTGATCAACATATAGCTAAAAAGATTGTAATAAATTGGCCATATGAATAGGTGGAGACCCTTGGAAAGCCGGTGGAGGGAATGGGGAGGTGGTAGCTGGTGTTATCTGATAGCTTTGAAGTCTTGAATATGAGCTCAAGATGCTGAAAGGGGACTCTTCTTCATTGATGCAGGGGAGAAGACTTGAAATTGTTTCTTGCTCACTTCGGCTTCTTTGGCTGTGGCTGTTTGATCTAGTAGCTACAGTAGATACCTATTCTTTGTTTGCAGCCTTAGCCTGGAGCTGCGACCAGGAAATCTGCAGCGAGTAGACCATTTGTGTTGTTGTTTGCTCGCCTTTGTCCTCGGCGGCTACGAAGTTGTTTGTTCCTGGAAGTAGGGAGTTTTTCGGAGTGGTGTTTAGCACGTTCTAATTTGTTATTAGTTTTAATCATTTAAGCTAGAGAATAGGTTTGTGGAGGTTTTCCTATACCTGAGTTTGTAAGCTGGCAACCCTGGCAGGTCTTTGATATTATTTTAATATAAGCATGACTAAGCTTTTGGTCTAAAAATATGCAGGAGTAGAGTCCCGGAAAAACTCTTTTGAGTAAAATTCACAGTCAGTCCTTAAATGTGGCATAAGGTGTCATCCCGGTCCCTGAACTTTTAAAGTTATGTTTGTGGATCCCTGAACTTGATCACCGGTATCATTTCAGTCCATAAACTTCTAAGATGTTCATTGTCGGTCCCTAAACTCAGCCAGTGGTGGCATTCCAGACCATAAACTTGGCTTTGAGTCTCGTCCAAGTCCAAAAGGAGCCTAACCCACTCTATACACTGACGTGACACGCTGACTTTTAAAAAAAAAATTCATAACTTTTTTCATATGAGCTTGTATGAAGATAAACTTTATATAAAAATTGTATCCCTCGATGGGATCTACAACTTTGTAGTTAAAAAGTTTTAGGATAGAAACTGTTTAGGGTCCCAAAATATTATTGTAAGTTCATAGATTTTGAAATTTAAAATTTAAAATTATGAAACAATCTCATATGTTGATATGATCTGTATGAAAGTTATAGTTCTGAATTCAATCTACAACTTTGTAGTTGAAAAGTTTTTTATTTGAAGTCGTTTAGTGTCCTAAATATGTGTTCTAACTTTTTTTTATTTCAAAATCTATAAACTTAGAACACATATTTGAGACACTAAAAAACTTTAAATAAAAAATTCAACTACAAATTTGTAAATCCTATTGAGAACTATAATTTTTATATAGACCATGACAACATCTAAGATTGTTTCATAATTTTAAATTTTAAATTTCAAAATTTATGAACTTACAACAATATTTTGGGACCTTAGCCAGTATCAATTCAAAAACTTTTCAACCAGAAAGTTGTATATCCGGTCAAGAGTTACAATTTTGATATAAAATTTGTCCTCATCCAAATTCATATAAAAAGTTATGAATTATTTTTTGAAAAGTCAGTGTGCCACGTCAATATATAGAGTGGATTAGGCTCCATTTGGACTCGGATGAGACTCAAAACCAAGTTTAGGGTCTGAAATGACACCACCGGCCAAGTTTAGAGATAGACGGTGAACAACTTGGAAGTTCATGGACTGAGATGATACCCAGTGGCGGAGCCAGGATTTCACTTCAGGGTATTCCATGTTCAAAAAATTTCCAATGCAAATAAGAGTAATAAGCAAAGTAGAATATGCAATAGTAATAAGCAAAGTGCAAATATGCTAGCACCTTTCTTCTTCATCTAATTACAAATACAATGAAAAAAAATAGAAAACGAAATCTTTATTCTCCCTCTGAACTTCTGAATAATGGATCTAGGGGTGTTTTGTGTTCACATTTCTTCAAGCTGAAGCTGGGACGGGGATAGAGGGGGAGGGCTGATCAGTCGGAGCCTGAAGGGGAGCTGCTCCTCTGCTGCAGGCCGCCGCAGGCTCCTTTCCCATCGGGCTTCGACACCGGTCGCTGGGGCTGGATAGGCGCGGTTGAGCAGAGCTAGGAGAGGCGAGGGGGGCTGAGGGAGAGAGCCAGAGGTGCTGCCGTGCCGCCAGTTTACGCCGCCGGCTGCTTTCGGTCGATGGCTCGATGGGAGAGACGGACAGGAGCACAGAGCGTCGGGAGATGTCAATGGTTTTTTCTAGAGTCTATGACTTCGTGGGCTGCTATTGCTAGTTGTTCTATTGGGCTTATATGCCATATTTGCAATATTCAGTATACCAACATGCTATACCATTATACATATGTATATGTATTTGTTTTTGTTCCCAAAACATCGGTATTCCATGGCATACAGGTGCATACCCCTGGCGCCGCCAATGATGATATCGTTGGCTAAGTTTAGAGACCCATATATATCACTTTGAAAGTTCGGGGACCGGGATGACACTGTTGGCCAAGTTTAAGGATCGATGGTGAATTTTACTCTTTTTTATATTAGCATGACTAAGCTTTTTATGTTGTTGTTAATCTGAGGTGAACTAAAATGGACCATGTTTTCGTGGGGTTTTTTTGTTTTCGTGGGGTTATTCGCTTGATGCTGCTAGATGGGCTGAGAGCCCGAGACCAAGAGTCCCGACGGCGACGGGTCAGCATTAGGTTGGGCTTATATTAGGCTTCACTGTGTGAACCGGCCCAATTTCAGAAATCGTTAATGCGCCAGCAGCCCACCACTACATAGAGAGCGGGTAAGCCTCTTGGCATTTCCAGGCTTCTAGGTTTCCGTCTCGCCGCCGCCGCCGCCAACTTGCCACTCGCTCTCCCTCCTGCCCGCCCGCCGCCCACCGCTCGCCACAACCGCCGCCATGGGACGCGTGTACGGCCCCGGGAAGGGCATGTCCTCGTCGGTGCTGCCCTACGCTCGCGTCGCCCCTGGCTGGGTGAGGTCGACCGCTGGGGAGGTGGAGGACATGATCGTGCGCGCCGCCAAGAAGGGCCACCTGCCGTCGCAGATCGGTGCGCTGCTCCGCGACACGCACGGCGTCCCGCTGGTCCACGGCGTCACGGGCGGCAAGATCCTGCGCATGCTCAAGGCCCGCGGGCTCGCGCCGGAGGTGCCCGAGGACCTCTACTTCCTCATCAAGAAGGCCGTCGCGATCAGGAAGCACCTGGACAGGAACCGGACGGACATAGACGCCAAGTTCCGCCTGATCCTCGTCGAGAGCAGGGTCCACCGCCTGATCCGCTACTACCGCCGCACCAAGAAGATCGCCCCCAACTTGAAGTACGAATCGACCACCGCGAGCGCTCTGGTGGCGTGATGGTTGTGAATTGATTCTCTACAGCTTTGGAGTTTGTCTTAATCCTAAGGAAGTTAAGTGATAGTAGTAGTACCTTATGCTATGTTACTATGTGAGATCTTTAAATTTATCTACCCGATGCACCTAGGAAGAGGCATGGATCTTGAGACTTGGCAGTTATGAGACTGGATCAGGTTTTTGACCATTGAAGCTGCATTATTCAAAATGGTTTGGGGTTGGGCTTAACCTTGAGTAGGTTGGATGATGCTCTCATCAAAAGTTTAGAATGAAGCAAGAGACTTGGTATTTGGTTTCGCCTTTTCGCCCTTTCTATCTTGGTTTCACCAATTAGTTCATGTTACAAGTTTGGTATAGCTTAGCTAATGTTTGAGATTTGAGGAGCCTCCAAGGAGACAGTGATACTTATGGATGTTGGTTTCCTTATCCCATAATTTCAAATGATCTGTGTGAGTGTTATGTTTGGTTGCCTATATTAAGTTTTTTGTTTAGGTTCTAGAATCATTCAGCAGTGCTTCTGTTAGAATTTTTGGGATGTAATTCCAATTTGAACAAAATATTAAGGATTTGGATTCTGCTGCCCAACAAGTATCTTTGGTTGATAAGTAGCATTCCCTAGGTTCTATTGATGTGTGGTCATGAATCATGATATGTTTTTCTGTAATTTATTGTCTTAAGAAGAATAGCTAAGAAGTTAGAAGCTTAAAAGGGTTGTCTGAGCAATGGTGTTTCCCCCCCTGTTTGGTTCTATGGGCCATTAATTTTAGTTGCATGTCAGGGGATCATGCAATGGTGTTACTTTTTCTGTTTCAGAGTAATTGAATCAAGTGATCTTGAACTTGAGATTTCCTTGTCATGCGTGCAATTTAGAGTGAGTACTATCTCCGCCCCAAAATAAATCAATTCCTAGAATCACTTAAAGTCAGACTATCTTAAGTTTGACCTGTTTTATAGGAAAGAGTAGCATCTAATATGACTCTATTTAAGTACATTATAAAAATGTATCATGATGTACCTATTAATACTACTTTGGGTGTCATAAACATTGGTGTTTTTTATATAAATTTGGTCAAACTTAAAATAGTTTAGGATAGCTCTAGAAGTTGATTTATTTTGGGCGCGACGGAGTGAGTATTAATACTTTCACTTTAGAGCTAAAAATAAAAACATTGAATGGCAAGGTCTTAATTGAAATGTCATTGTTTTGGTCTCCTACCTGTCATGTCTCAGTGTCCAAAGGACACACGGTTAATTCCTGGCTTCAAATTTGAGCTCTGTTAAGGTAGATTGGATGCCTAGAGAATGTAATAGGGTTACACATGATTTGGCTGTTCTTCGTTCGATGTGCTCTGGAGAAGCCAGCTCTGTGCTGGATGTAATTCTGCACTGTATTGTCCTTTTAGTTACTGAGAAAATCTCTCATCATTAATTGAAGTGATGTTTCCTCTAAAAAAATGGTTAGTGCTAAATTTATGTTCAGAGTGTGTCTACTTCTTGCTCATGATTAATTAAAGTGTCGTTTCCTCTAAAAAAATGTTTACTGCTAAATGTATGTTCAGAGCGTGTCTACTTCTTGATTGGGCTGTTCCTTTACTGAGGGTCTAGAGAACATGTTTGCATGTGCTAGATGGTCTCTGTTCTCACTAATAGTCCAGGTTTTCTTAAAGAAATTATTTCCTATTTTCCTTTAAGAATTTTATCCCAAAATGATTCAATACTGGTATTTTGTTGGTTTAATTTATATCTTGTACATTCTCTGTGAGGGGTACAACTAAAGAACCTCCAAAGGTTACTGTTTTCAGAGTAGTGTGGTGTGACTGTTTCTGTTTGGTTGTCTGTTCCACACTTCCACTAAATTTGGATCCCAGAGCTGTATATAATTTTGTACATAGTGAGCTTGAATGCTTGTAACTCTACATCGTATCATCATGCAATGTGGAGTGACAATTTGTATTTGCATTATTGAGCTAGAGCCTAGAACTATTTGGTGGCAAGGTTTTAGTCGACATTTGTTTGTTTTTGGCTTTTGGCTGGCTTTCATGTTGTATTGTCTTGAGATAACCAGGTGGTTTTTAAGTTGCTAAGTTCATGTTTATTGTTTAGCACAGCTCTACTTAATTGTGATGTTTCCTTGGCAACGGATCAAGTGTAACAGGCATAGGAAAGCTATTACCTCCTTGCTACCAGCCCACTGATAATTCTTGGTGAAATGACTTTGAGAATATTTTGACCATAATGATAATTATGGATCTGGAGGCAAACCATCTAGTTAGACTTTGCAGTATTTTGACCATGATGATTATCTCCTTGCTACCAACTATGCTCCAAAGATCCGGTAATCTGATACACAATCACTTTAGTCCAACATGTGTAGGGTGCTTCCAGATGCAACAACCGGACATTTTGTCATCAGTTGCTTGCACATATATTAGTGGTTGCATATAAGTTTAGTGCCTAATTAGAAAGTCTAATCCCATCCATGAGTGACAATGATTGATCAAATAAAGCATCCGCGCTTTATCATGTGGACGCACTGTTGGCTGGTGCTTGTAGCCCTGGGAATTGTTGTCGCATGCACGCCACTGGTCAAGATAATGCAGCATGATTTTCGATACAGTTGGATGCTTGATTTGAATTGATCGCGGACATCGTCTGCACTTGCTGTCTGGATTTGATACCATTATTTTTATTATTCGCAAAGGTCTTGAACCCGATTCAAATAGTTGCAGTGTTTGGACTGTTCTGATCAATGCTACAGTGTTTGGTTTCAGTTGCTCAAACTCTTGTGCATGATTTCAACTTTCAAGGAACGAGAAACTCATATCATGGTGAATGATTCATTTCAGTTGGTTGGATAGTTGGTTTGCATGTATTACATATATCTTGCTGGATGTGAAGATTAGTTGGGAGAGATGCTGCTCAACATCTGTTTTGGACCACTCAACCACTGTGACTGCCTGTATTAGTCGGCTTAATTTATCTCGGAACCAGGCTTGGATGGTTCGTCTTATTGGTAAACCATGCTCATGTCTGCTGCACATGTTAGCAAACATATTTGTACTGCTGAGTCAGGTCAAGTCAGACAGATCCAGATGCCATCTAGGTCTTCCCTTGCTTCTGATGTGGTATACTCCTACGATGGAGAACAAATTGACTGGGAGCGTACTCGCATGTTCTGGTCAAAGCCGGGCAAGACTTCCCTGATGCCGCAAAGTGCAGGATAAACAAGGACGTTACTGGTGCACTTGCCATGTTATTAAATCGAGCACACCATTTGTATATGTATAAACCAGAGATCGCCGGACATGTTGCCATGGCGCCGTCTGATCGGACAGTTCATCGCCGAGCAATACTTTATGGCTGGATCCAACAGTTTCCCAGCCTGCGAATCTGCATAAATGGTCATGATCGATCGTTCAGTGTGTGTACTGTTTTCAGCATCTCACACAAAGTCTCGTCGGCATATAGTATCCTCTTCTCCGGTGCGACCTCCGTCCCTCTCGGGCTCTCCTGCTCGCGCTTCTTGATTCCATTTCCATGGCCAGCCTCGTGCACCAGGCGTCCATGCCGGCGATGGCGCCGCCGTGCGACGAGGAGCTGGTCCCGCAGGGCTTCAGCTGCTTCGGCCGCTCGCTGTCGCGGGCGTCGTCGTCGAGCCGGCTCGAGTACAGGGCGCTGCAGCAGGAGCAGGGCGAGGAGAGGCGCGCCGCCGCAGCGCAGGACGCGCGGTCGGCGCGCGCCAAGCTGCGGTGGAAGGCGGTGGCGCACGAGATCATGGCGAAGGGCGGCAGCGGCGCGCGGCGGAGGAAGCAGCAGCAGCAGCTGGCAGCCTTCAGCTACGACTCCCGGAGCTACGCGCTCAACTTCGACCGGGGCGCCGACGAGTAGCAGCAGCAGCAGCAGCGTGCATGTCTGCGTGCTGCTGAGCTTGCTGCGGCCGGCTGACCCTGCGCGCGGCGCGGCGCGGATCGGAGCCTGAAACAGCGCGGTGGCACGTGCGACCCGGGGGAGCAGCGACGACCGGTCGGCGAGGGAACAATGGCGATCTACCCAAGGTGGAGAGGAAAGCATGAGTTTTACTGTGTAAAGATCTACTACTCCGTACTGGAGATCAAGCTCAGCCCTTGCTCTAGTTTCCTTTGTTTGGACTTCTCTTCTTCTTTTTCATTCAGATGGCACGATCATGTTTGGGTGATTCGTCCTCGAATGTTCGAGTGGTGCAATAAGAGCTGGCTCCTCAGTAATTTCTTCAGTCCCCGTGTTATTTTTACTACCGTTCTTTGTCGATTCATGCTTCGTCAAGACGGTACAGTGTAACGCATGTGCGCCAATGTAGTTTGGCCCTGTTTGTTACGCTGCAATTTGGATTAGGCTAGTGTTGATGTTGAAAGACTGAATCAAACGGATTTTGAGATTGGCTTCGTTCGCTTGTCTAAAAAAAAAAAGACAAAACACTGTTCCAGCTGACTTATTATGAGAGAGAAAACACTGTTTCGGTTAAAAAAAAGTCAAATAAACCAGATTTTAAGACAAGCGAGCGGGGCCATTAACTTACAAGTTCTTCAAATATGCCTAGCTGTCACAGCACTTTGAAATGACAGTCCATAACCTGTTTGTGGGCACGACGAGCGCCGCTACCTGTTTGAACCCATGGTCGACGCAGCCGCCGATCGACCATGGGTTCGAGAATATGTAGTAGCGCTCGTCATGCTCACAACTGTTTGACGGAATGCACTGGTCAAGAGCTACTTCAGATGGACAAGTTAGCAAGCTACGTTGGCATGAGCAGCTCACATGGAGGGCATGGACATAAGTGATACGATATAAAGGCCCTGTTCGCTTCTCTTATAATCCGTACTTTTCAGCTTGTTTTTTCAGCCGAAACATTGTTTTTCTCTCACAATAAATCAGGCGGAACAGTGTTTCGGCTTGTTTTTTTCAGCGAAGCGAACGGGGCCAAAAAGTTTATGGACCCAAAAATTCACTTTCAAAGTTGATGGACCTAACTAAAACCTTCTCACAAGTTAATAAACCTCGGGTGCATTTAACTCTAATTTTAAATTTGATTAAACTTAAAAATAGAAACAATTATATTGTCAAATAATTATTATTAGATTAATTATGAATACGTTTTTACAGTGGAGACATATAAGCTTATAAATTTCGTCGATCTTAAGAAATATTAATTTTTTTGGTTTATAAATCTAGAATTCTACTCGGTATAAGCAAATCAGCTATATGGAAAATGGAGAAGACTCTTGGGCCTTGGCCACGAGCCCACCACACCAGCAACAAATCAAAAGGGGCCCTTCGTGAGCGAACACGTCGGTGCCACCAGCAACGGAGCCCCACCAGGCACTCAGGCACCGCACTGCCCATGGACGCACGCCTCGCGGCGCGCCCACCCCGCCCGCGTGCCTCTGCCCGCCTCCCGTTTGCCTCCACCCCAACGCGGCGCGCGGGGTGACGGTGCCCTCGCGATCCTCGTGTCGATTCCAGCGGCGCGGGTACCTTTCCCTTTCACTCCCCTGGCCGTTGCCCGCGCCTCGCGGTCGCGCACCGGAACCGGAGCCCCGCGGCGAATCTAGGTTTGCCTCCGCCCCGCCCTCTCCTCCCGAGACTCCCAGCGGCTGGAATTAGGACGAGGGTAACAGGCGACGGAGGCTGCGAGGGACGCCCCCTCATCGAATGCACCGGCGACCGATCTGTTGAGGAGCAGCCGGAGCACGCAGGAGGTTAGTCTAGGCACGTATCGCCTCACCCTCTCTTTCCCTTCTAGACGGTTCGATCCAATGTGCTTGTTGTTGGCTGATCGGGTTACGCGGATGCCGGATGCGTGTAAATTGAGCGGAATTCCCGATTTAGTCCCATTTATTCGGAGTAGTAGACCCCATAATCATATTTCCTTCACTTCCGCGAAATTTTGCACTTGATCGTCTTGAGTTGGTGGCGAAATGCTTATTCTGGGTTTCTACCTCGAGCGCGATGGTGGTCGGTGGTGGACATTTTTATGCGGCTGTGACTCCGTGAGGAGGCCACGGGGCCAAAAGTGTGAGAGTGACGCGGTGATGGGAGGCGGGGTGGTGGGGGTGGGGTGGGGGTGCGGTGGGGTGGGGGTGGGGGGGGGGATGTCCGGATCAAGGGTCAGAGAAAGGGAAGAAATGGTTTAGACAATTCGAGTGCGATGTGAGTTAGGATAGGCGGCCAACCACACTTGCAATTTATTTTCTGTGCGTCAACAAGCTGCCTACCAGTTCATTTTCCAAACTGGTTTAGATCTGTTTGTCTGATTACTGACCTAACCCCATGCTTTCTACTCCTATTTACTATTGTGACTTTTGACTCGAGGAATTAGAAAGCACAGCCCAATTCATTTGTACAATCTGTTCTGTTATTGTTTATAAAATGCTTAATAAAGAGCCGCTATTAATTGAGAAGAGAATCTACGAATTGGTGGGCCATGAAGTTGCATGTTTTTTCCCCATTTGCTTGAAAAGAATGGAGCCTTTCTTGTTGTTTTCTGAATGATATAACTGGACACTGTAGTTGAGGGGAAAGCTTTGAAAATGTCATCCACTGTGCCGAAGTCATCGAATATCTTCTGGCATGATTGCCCAGTTGGCAAGACTGATCGCCAGAAGCTACTCAAGCAGAAAGGCTGTGTTGTGTGGATTACAGGCCTCAGTGGTTCAGGTAAGCAAACCTTGCTTTCTCTCGAACTGATTTGTTGTGTGCTTCTTGCACTGTTGATGCAATTGTTTAAATTCCCAAGCTAAGATAATGTCAACTGCAGTTGGTCACTCTTTCTGCTTCGTATATATTATATCCTCTTTGTTTGTCTGTTGTTGACCATTGTTGTTGTTCGATAATGTCATCTGCCATTTTTATGTACATGGACTGAGATTTCTATACTGCACTGTTTTGCTTGAATTACTGAATTCTACTAAAGTCATTTTGGCCCAATGCTGTGATTACTGTTTTGTTGTCGAATGGCTTTCTAGTTTTCTTCTCTCTGCATCCATGCATTTCCATCTTGTTTACGAATTTGGCCAAAATTTTTATTTGTTTCAAGAAAATAAGTTCAACTCTGTTCTAGATTTATCAATAAGAAACCTATTCATTTTGGCCTGGATAAATTACATACCTTATTTTCACTTGCCTTAAATTCATAGAAATAACTTTTAGGTTCTTAAAAGGTAAATATGCACTGAAGCTGTGTAGTACTTACATAGTTTGCTGACATGTATTGATGCTCTTTTGGGTGGTTACTCTGCTGGTCTCTTGAAGTTTGGTTTAGTTTAGTTTAGAGGGGAAGCGCCTTGAGCACCTTGATGAATCTCTTGTAAGCTTGTGAGTGGTGACCCCAGCAGAACTAAACTTTGCTTTCTATAAATCGGGGCCAATGGTCTTTGGTGTAAAAAAGGTTAATATGTAAAGTTTCCAAAAGAACTGTAATATTTTTTTTTCAATTTGTATGGCATATGCCTATTCACAGTATCTTCTGGGCTTACATTGCATTTTTTTTTTAAAAAAATAAATCGGAATCTATTTTCTGTTATTTCAAAGGATGGCTACAGTTAAATGATAAATCTCCAATATCATTTGTGTTTCCAATTGAAACTTTTAGTTTTTTAGATGGTATTTTTTTATCTAATTTCTTTTCAATTTTTTCATCTTGCCAAGGTAAAAGTACGTTGGCATGTACATTAGGTCGGGAGCTCCACACAAGAGGGAAGCTTGCATATGTCCTTGACGGTGATAACTTAAGACATGGTCTGAACAAGGATCTTGGCTTTAAAGCTGAAGATCGTGCTGAAAATATAAGGAGAGTTGGTAAGTGTCTCGCCAACATAGATGTGTCTATAAGGAGAGTTGGTAAGTGCCTCGCCAACATAGATATGTCTATAATATTTAAAGAAACTCCCATGAAAGTAAAAGAATGATAAACAAGTCCTGCATTTGCCATTATTTTATCTTTCCAGCATTCTGCAGTTCACATTTTGTATCAACTAATTTGTACAGGTGAAGTAGCAAAGTTATTGAAAGGCGGGCCTGGTGCAAGCGGTAGAGTCTTACCGCCTGTGACCGGAAGGTCCCGGGTTCGAGTCGCGGTCTCCTCGCATTGCACAGGCGAGGGTAAGGCTTGCCACTGACACCCTTCCCCAGACCCCGCACAGAGCGGGAGCTCTCTGCACTGGGTACGCCCTTTGAAGTAGCAAAGTTATTTTCAGATGCGGGCCTTGTATGTATTGCAAGTTTGATATCTCCATATAGGAGAGACCGTGAATCTTGTCGTGCATTGTTGTCTGATGGTAGCTTTATTGAAGTAAGAGATCCATTTTATTTGTTTTGTATTTAGTAAACTTATCGACCTCATGAGTTTACAGCCAAACACCTGTGAACTTTTTCAGGTTTTCTTGAACATGTCCTTGGAATTGTGTGAAGCAAGGGATCCAAGGGGCCTCTATAAGCTTGCTCGTGCAGGAAAAATAAAGGATAAGGTTCATATGATGCTTGGTGTCCAAAATGGAAATAGTTTAGAGTGCTTAGTGCTTCCTGCAGAGCAAAATTGGATCAAACCTGAAATATTTTTAAATGTGAATCACATTTCTGCCTTTTTTTGTAATGTTAGGTTCACTGCCTAAAGAACAATTTAAAATACTAATTGAGTCGAATTATGCTTTCTTTGGGAAGCAGCTCCTTAGTTCTGATATGATTTTGCAGCGACAGTCAAATTTTGATGATGCATGTCCTGTCAATGTGAAAATGATTTTATTTTCTCGAACATGCAGGAGAGTATGTATCATTATATTAAGAATAAGAAAAGGGTATAAGAAACCCGAACAGCCACTCACACCAGCACCTTTAGACTAAGACAAAAATGATCTTGACCTGGACCTGATAATACACTACAAACGTAGCCTTGGGGCAATCATATTTTTGGCCACATGCTATGTTTAGATTCTTCTATTTGGTTCCTTGGCTATACTGTAATGACCAATGGTGTTGCAGCTAGAAAATGTGCAAGCTTGTAGTTTCTATTTTGTTACTATGCTCTTTTTTGACATTTGCTCACTCATTGATCATGTTACTTCTGAATGCTGAATTTAAATAAATTGAACTGATTTGTTTTGAATCTGGACCAGACCTGAACCATGGAGTTAGTTAGAGGCCAGTGCATGGTAGGGCCCTTAAATATTTTATTTTCAGGTGTCAGAACGTCCATTTGTAAGTTAGCTCAAAGTGTTCTCTAGTCAAGAAATGGAAAAGCAGAAAATGAGTAAGCCTGAAAGTTTTAACCATTAATCATCTACTGTAAAAGGTATCTTGTATGAACAGATACATGTTCACTGCAAAAATTCCATTGTGGGCAGGCTTATCTTCATTTTTAAAGTCAACCTGTCTTGTTAACTCATATAGAGTTTAGTCACGCTTCAAGTTTTAAACATGGTTTGTTGCAGGTTTTACAGGAATAGATGACCCTTATGAAGCACCACTGAATTGCGAGGTACATTATCATATTAGATTTCCTGTCATCTTCACATGTTGAAGTGTGTATTATCAAAGTGTTAATGTAGCTGTTGGTTTTGGTCCATATAAAAAATTGGTAGCCTGAAACTCGAGATTCAATGTCATAAGAAATGCATGGTCGGATTAAGAGAAGAGAGTGTGCTTTATCATTTTCTTTTATTGCTACATGGTGAACCGTGTAGGTTTTACAGGCTGTTTAGCTGTTTGCATAGAAGGACAGTTGTGGGTAGCAAACGTTGGCTACACCACAACCCTAAGTATATGAGTATCTTTACAAGACATTCTAAAAGTGTCATGTTTATAGCTGACAAAGATGGTTAAATTGCTTTTCTGGTATAAGAATGAAATCATGTTTGATTCTTTTCTATGCTGGTATCAAGTTAGCACTCTTTGTTTATGACTTATACACGTTGACTACTTGCAGATTGAGATCAAGGAAGTAGATGGTGTATGCCCTTCGCCTTCTGACATGGCAGGGCAAGTGGTTACTTACCTTGAGGAGAAAGGATTCCTGCACGAGTAGGCTGAATCCAAGCAACATTCGGGGAAGATTTCAACAAGACTAGCACTTAAAAGCGCTGGCAGTAACGGTCAAAGTTCAGCTAGGCGCTAGGCGGAATCTAGGCGCTGACCCATTGCCTAGCGCCTAGTCGGGAGTACTCGGTCCTAGGCGCTCCTAGGCGTTTTGGCAACAGAGCTCTCCTCTGCTCCAAGAGAAAGCAGAGCAGAGCAGCTACTCTGTTCCAAGAGAAAGCAGAGCAGAGCAGAGCAGAGGGCCGCACCTGGTTCCCCGAGCGAAGCTGAGCAGGGGCGGCGAGCAGAGCAGAGGGCCGCGAGCAGGGGCGGCGAGGCAGAGCAGAGGGCCGCGCCTGGTTCCCCGAGTGAAGCAGAGCAGGGGCGGCTTCAACCAGAGGGCCGCGCCCGGCGTGGGGAGGGGCAGCAGGCGGCAGCCAGGGGAGGTGCGGCGTCCACCGGAGGCCGCGGCCAGCCGGAGCGGGCACACGCGCACGCGCGGCCGCCCGACGGCTGAGGCTGGGCAGTGGTCGCGACGGCCGCCTAGCGCCGCGATGCGCGACTATGCCCCTAGTCGCGGCGACGGGCTTCGCCCAGCGACTAGGCGTGCGTAGTCGCTGAGTAGTCGCCGCCTAGCCGAACTTTGGTTACGGTATACTAGTAGTTACATAGATGGGTCTCAAGGCCTTAGACTCCGTTCGTTTGGCTGAAATTGGTTGGAAAACACTGTTCTGGCTGAATTTCTGTGAGAGAAAACATTATTCCAGCTGAAAAAACAAGCTGAATAGTGCTGAAAAACACTGTTCTTCCATACTTCCTCTGTCACAAGTTCCATGCAATTTCATTCAGATGGGCCTAGATGGTTCCTGATTTCTTTGACCTGTAGATTAGATTACCTGTAATTCAGTTCTGATAACCACTTGGGGGCAGTATTGATGTGGCAATCATTGTCAGGGGAAGGTACACCTAATGTTAAGAGAAGCTGTCTTGTTATGCCCCACTTTCTGCAGCGCCGAGATGTACAGCGTGTTAAGGTTTCAGTATTGACACGCTGAAACATCCGCGTGTGGCGTGTTGCATGTGGCAGGTTTACCAGGACGTCAACCGGCATGTTAGCCCGCAAATTCTTGACAAGCGTGATGCAAATCTTCTCGTAAGCTACTCTCTGTATTATTCTTCGGTCAACTTGTTGAACTTCTGTCATAGACTAGATTGCCTTCGCTTCGCTTGCTCGATCTGGTTTTGCTTGCCAGCGTCAACAACAAGCGTGGGGATAAAGGTCGTACATGCTTCACGGGAGTAATGCGCTCGGTGCTCCGCGTCCGCGAACAGGTTGGACCCGGTACGCTGGAATTGGCCAAGTACCACAGCAAGCGTGCTGCAACGTGCGGTTTTTACCATGGTCTACTGTTCTATCGTTCTATGCATCTCGGCACAACAGGATCTGTCACCGCCAGGCGTCAGCACGAGAAAAATGACCCAAGAGATACGCCGTCTCGTGATGAGGCTGAACGCTGAAGCACGCTTACTGGTCCCCAGCTGAACAACTCAAAACCGCCGCGCCGGGTGCCTTCCGCGCGCGCACGGCGGCGGGGACTCCTGGCACCGGTCCGCCGGTTGGCCCATCGTGTACCCCTGCCTCACGGCACCCTCGCCCGCGCACGTAAAATTCCCGCGCGCTCGCTTCGCTTCGGCTCTCACCTCTCAGCCTCCCACACGGCCACACTCCCACTCCACGCAATGACGCAACCAAATTAGAAAGCCCGCACCCAGGTTTACACCGCGCGCGGCAACGCGACGCAAAACCCGACGAAGCCAAACCGAGCAAGCAAAGCAAGCATCCGACCAACCCCCGGCCGGGCGCGCGAGGATCGGAAGCTTAGCCAACGAAATGGTGTTCAGCGCCTCGTTCGTGGCGGCGGCGGCACGCGTGCCGGCGGAGCTGTTCCAGCAGCCGCGGCGCCCGGGGCGGCGGCGGGTGAGCGCGGACGACGTCCTGCGCGCGCTGTTCCTGCCGCCGGCTCGGGAGCTCGTGCGCCTGGGGGACTTCCTCTTCGCCTTCTTCTGCCTGCCGCTGCCGGAGTACTACCTGCCAGGGTCCGGCCGCGGCGGCGGGTGGGTGGCGCGGGTGCCCGACGCGGTGCTGTACACCTACCGGAGGTCTCTCTCGGTCAGCTCGTCGTCGTCCTCCTTCTCGTCGTCGATGTCCTCGTCGGAGGAGGACTGATTGCCGACGAGGAATAATAAATTGTATAGGTTGCGGAATGCAACGGCCGTGCTTGTGTTTGTTTGTTTTTTTCCTTTGTGTAGGAGAATCGATTAGATGTGACTTGTACGCCCAATTCTTTTTGTGACCTCTGTATATATCCAATGATTTGATATAGATAAATATTCAGTTTTCTTGTGAGCTGCAAAATCTAAATGATTCTTTTGGCTTGAATCAGTCTACTCCTAAATTACACAATTCGCTCAGGTGATCATAGTGTTTTCTTCCCAGTATTTTACCTTTTTAGAGAAAACAATTGTTTGCTTCTACTTTTAATAATGTAACATCTTTTGTAATGTGATTTTTTTTCTTTTTTAGTGGACATCTATATACAATCTGGACAAATTGTTCCATGTTCAAAGGCCCCCAAGCTTGTAGAGGGGAAGCCCGGCGATAACTAAACTGGGCCTCTGACAATCTCAGCCCATTATCCCAGTTCGGTCCACGCGCTAACCCGCCGCGTCGGACGAGCAGTTAACCAGTTACGACGACGCGGCAGGCGAACTCCCGCGAAAAGCGAGACTGAATCCACCACAAATGCATCACTACCGTCCACTTCCGCCGTCCGGCCAAATCAAACGGTTACCCGAGCGTCACGCTCCAAAACGAATAAAAATCCCAGAGCTGAAAACCAACACGTCAACCTCCCCATCCCGAAGCAACCCCACCTTCTCTCTTCTTTTTTCCGCCTTCTTTTCCCCGTGCAACAAACGCAAACGCGACCCAACGAATCGAATCAAATTCGCCGTCCACCTCGTCGGCGTCGGCGCCACCGGCCTCCACCGCAAGCCCGCGTCCGATCAGCCACCGGAGATGCAGCACGGGAGCGGCGACTACGCGTCCTCCGCCCCCTACTACCAGCACCAGTACGCGCCCCCCGGCTCGAACCCCTATCCAGCCGCCACCGACGACGCCCTGGCGCCGGGGGCAGCGGCGGGGGGCTACGCCTCCGCGCCGCCCTACTCCCTCGGCGGCGGCTACCCCGACCAGCCGCCCTCTGCCCCGGCCTACTCGCAACCACCCTCCGCCCCGGCCTACGCACAGCCGCCGCCCCAGCCCCAGCACGGAACCGGGTACCCGCCTTACAACACCAACCCCACGACCTACCCGCCGGAGGCATACTACACCTACACGCCGCCGCTCACCCAGACCACGGCCCCGCCGCCTCCGGAGCCCAACCCCGTGCCGCTGCCCTACGACGCCCCGTACTACGGGGGCGGGTACCAGCCGCCGACCGCGGGGTACGACAACGAGGATTACCTGAACGAGGGCGCCTACGCGTACAGCGGCGGCGGTGGCTCGGAGCCGTACGGGGCGCGCGGCACGGCCCCTGCGCGGTCGGGATCCGCGCTGTTTGATGACTATGGGCGGTCGATCAGTGCCTCATCTGGATGGGAGGAGCAATCGTGGGGCAGTGGTGGCAGTGGCGGAGGGGGTGGGAGTTATGGGGTGATCGCAAAGGCCCTTCCAAAGGCGGAAACGCGTGAGGATGCCAGTGGTGGTGCACAGAAGTTTCGGGTTAAGCTGCTGCCAGAGGGTGCTGGGAACCCTACTGATGTGCTTTGCCAGGTACAGTAATAATTAGATTGATGAAATTATGCATCATAGGCAAAATTTGTTTGAAGACTGGGAGGGCTTGGTAATTTCTAGGTTCACTAATTTTCCATGGGAATTCCTATAACTTCTTAACCCACATCTAGTATTTGTTGTTTGTAAATTATATATAGCAAAAAAAAAGCCACTGTCATTTTGGTACATGAAATGTCTTGATGGTGGTGCTGCAGATTGGTCTAGATGGAATTCGCATGCTTGATCCGAGTACAAGCAGGACCCTAAGGATTTATCCGCTCGATTCACTGACAAGATGGGAGGCGAGTTTGCCAACTTCTTCTTATGAAGACAATATCTGTATCTTTGTACAACACAAATTTGCTACAGTTTTTTATATTAATAATGTTTGTTTGCTCTGCTTATTTAGGTTTTGGATGCAACTATATTTGCATTCTGGGCAAAGACATCAGTGGATGTTGAACCAAAGAGAATTAGGCTGAAGTCAAGCAGTTATACTTCCAATACTATGCTTGACACTGTGACAGCAGCAACAGTGCAGGTATTGCAGCAACACTGTTTTTCCTGTCCCTGATAGTATTTAGCTTTTCTACTAGCAAGATGCTTCTGTGATGATGCCTTAGTTTCTTTATATATACATCTTTTTGCTTCTGGTCTTATTTGTCTTTGTTGTTGCTTCATATCTGAACTAAATCTGTAATGAGAAGCCAGAAGATTTAATCCTATCTGCTAGCATGCATCAGTTCTAAGATGGAAGTTCATCTAGTCCAACATTTTTATCGTCATGCACATATATACTAAGGAGTTCATGTCTTAGTTTTTTACTTGGTTTACCCCTATTGATTATGGATTGTATAAACTTATATCTCATCAATACCAAAAGTAATCAATAGGAACAGTTGTTAGAGGAGAAAACAAAACATAAATTGTTAGAGGAGTCAAGGGCCTATTGGGCCTTAGCCCATTAGAGTTAATTAGTCGCTTGCTTAGGGGCCAAGTCAGACCTCTCTATATAATGAGAGGAGATGTATCAATCTAATCAAGTAAGAGATTAGAAGGAAATCCCTTCTCTCTTGCCGGCCGTGGGCGAAGCCCCGCGGCCGGCCTCCCCCAGCGCCCTTGCAGCCCTAGCCGCCGCCGCCGTGAACAGTACCCGCGGACACTGTAGCTCCACGGTACTGTAGCACGCCCTCTCATCTCCATCCCAACTGGCCACATAACATAAATAGTTTCCAAATAAACTTCTATAAAGCTGGAGGTTGTTACAATAAAATTGTATTCTAGTTTTCCACATTGCTAAATGAGACGTAACACATTACCTGTAAAATGGCATGTTGTTCTTTATTGTCATGTTTGCATTTTAAATTTCTTCTATCCCAATGTTCACTCTGTATGAACCACATTCTTTTTTTATTTCGTAAAAAGGGATAGAAATTGGATAACTTGGATATCAGATGGGATTTTAATCTTTTTTCTATAGAAACGGTCCTGTTTTTTTTATGTAATTTTCAGCACAAATATAGGCTGCAGAAAACTTTAAATTGTTTTCCTGGTGGTCTATGTTCAGTGGATTATTTATTCATGCAATGCTTTAAGCAATTTTGCCTTTTGATGAATTGAGCAGCACTTCTTAACTTTGTGCTTCCATATAATTAGTTTAAGGAGATAGGTGGAGATGCAAGAAGCAAAGGAGCAGTGGAAACTGGCAAACCTTCAGTACAATCAAATGAGAAAAAGAAAGGTTTTGATTGGATGTTTACAAAACCTGTTGATGAAGTGAAAGACCATTGGGTATGCTGAGCCTGAGCTGTATTATGCGTTGACTACTTACTTTCAATATTCTTGGAACCATTTTAGTTTAAGCTATTTCATCGCTTATATTGTTTGCATGTTATTTTTTATAAGAATGTCTGCTTCTGTGCTACCGCTACATGCATATAGTTGGCTATCTGTATTTTTTAACCTTTCATTGAACATTTTGTCAGCTCATGTTTGTGCTTCAGTTCTATTAATTATATGTTAATATGGCAGTGTTATTGATCTTATTCCAAGTTCTTGACAATATTTATTATATTGTATCAATATCAATGTATCACCCTTTCTAATCTTATGATTATTTTTCTTCACTTGTAATTTTGTTAAGTTTCTGCAATACATTTAATTTTGTACCTTATAGGTCCCAGATGAGGTTGCCAAGAAGTGTCACTCGTGCGCCGTTGATTTTAGCCCTTTCAATCGCAGGGTAAATCTATATAGCATATTTGTCCATGTATTCATTATCTCTTATGGTAAAATTCTAATGCCTTGAGATGGGTTCCTTTCTCGCAGCATCATTGTCGGAACTGTGGTGAAATCTTTTGTGACAAATGCAGTCAGGGAAGAATTGCTCTGACAGCTGAGGATAATGCTCCACTTGTCAGAGTTTGTGATAGATGCATGGTAGGTTCTGCTACTCGATTGTTACTCATAATTTCTTTATTCTTACATTGATTGGTTTGCTTCAATGTTTGTTTTATACCGTTAGCTCTTTGCTTCAACTCCAATTTTATGGGCACCAGCATTTTTAGAACAGATTATCCAGTAGTTGTTAGTGCAGTCATCACTTCTTCGTTGCTAGCTTTTCGAACCAGGATTACACAATATAGATGTAGCTCGTCTTGCTGATTTCTTTCATAATGTTACT